ATATTTTTTATTCATATCAGTGTGCTATTTAAGTAAGAACGCAACAAACGAGGGCCCTAAATAACGTGAGTCAATCATTACTTTACTGCGTGATTTATGGTTCGTCTGAGTGTACATAATCTTTTCCTGTATTTATAGATGAAGTATAGGGCAGTACACCTCAGCTCAACGCGCAAGTCTTATCTTGCGTCAGGTCTTGTTATTTTCAGCACATAGTGACAAATCTAAGGTCTGACTACTACGTGTCGTTTACCGTGCTATGTTGTGTGGTGGTCATTTCCTACTGATCTAACAATGTGGGATCTTGATAATTTTACCACCCCTTTTCAGAATTAAGTAAAAGTTGTGTTTGAAAAAGTTAGAATACTATATTCTGGACTCTAATCTATACCTAAAGAGCATTTAAAGTTTTTCTTCGCAAAATGTAGAATAATGTTTCTTAACTGGTTTATAGCAGTAATTAGTGTAGCTTTTGAGAGCGACTTATTTGAGTGTCCTAGCAACTCAGCTTACTTTGAAGTTCTATTAGCTCCTATGAGTTGCTGGCTAATAAACCCTCTTCACAGATACAAAAAGCTAGTTTTGCCTATTTTAATCATGGTACCTTATGGGCGTACAAATCGTTTTTCCGGTTTATTCAAATCTTGAATTAGCTGTCATTTCTAATGCTTCATATATCGGTCGCATTTTTTCCTCTCAAACTGTATTTTAGTGGTTGTCTAGCTACGATCAGTTCATGATTTAGGCCAACAAGTTGCTGCTTCCCCGAGTTTTTTATTTATTTCAACACATAAATATTGGTACAAGAGGGCATAAAATATATATGCGCCACACCATATTTGTGTGTGTGGGCTGTGATACTTCCCGGGTGCCCAGACCGAAGTAGGTGGTTTTCTTAGGGGGCCACACCCCGAGCCTTTGACCTGTAGCGTGGCGTCGAGTTGAGATTAACTATGAACACCGCTACCAAGAAACACGTGCCAAATGAGTCAGAAGGCGAGGGTTGGACGTAACCAAATAGATCCATAAAATCCCCGAGAAGCCAAATACCAGAAGGCAATTAATGGACCAAGTCGAGTTATATTTGGCTGGCGATCTCGTGGCATCGAAAGGATACCGAGATCGTGCCAGGATACAACCTTGGTTACAGAAGGTAACCGAATTCGCGCGAAGTTACAATTGAAGTGTAAGTATAAGAATGGAAGCACAAAATAGCTGTCATTAGCACAGTCAAACAAAAGCACGTTAAAACAAACACTGGTACAGTTGGTTATAATAATAATTGTTTTTATTAAACCAGTCGTGTTCTCGTGATAAATGTGAGTCACTACAGGAGCCCCCCGCTAGAAAGGGTTAACACTTTCGATAAACAGCGGTTTAAATCGTGGGACTGATCGGCTAACGAGCGATTGTAGGACGGAAGAATTGGCGAACAGGAAAGCGATCGTTGATCGTCGAGTTGCCAACGAAAGTCTTTTTCGGAGAACGGTACCAGGAGCGATGTGCTGTATTTGTTGCTTGAGTTGGCATGCTACACGAGAGTGGTTTGTATCCAGAATCTGAAGAGGGCGTTCGTAGGGAATGCGGACCAGAAACGCTGCAGACGAAGGACGAAACCACGTTGAGCCAAAAGACCAGAAGCGACCATAACGACCAAGTTCGAGACCAAGCGTATGCCAAGCATTCGAAACCAATATATCGACTGAGTGCGTTGACAAGAGCATGGGTGGCCAATCCAGCTTTCGCCAAAGTTGACTGAAGTCGACGGAACCAAACGGAGATGGTCGAAGACGTGGGCTCAGGAAACAAAAAGAAAATCAAAAAAGGAGAGTGTAGCATGCGTGTAGTATAGGAATAATCCTACACCGTATCGGTTGTTGACTGTGCGACTATTCGCGGAAGCGTACGGGTAACCGTACTCGGCGACCGGAACGTGAGACGTCAGTCTCGTTCGTATTTCGTGAGCCTGCAATCTCATCCGAGGTCAGAAGCGGCGTGGTCTGCTGATCTGGACGTGAGACTGTCGTCTCGTCCGTAGACGGTGCAGATGACGCGTGCTGTTGGCCGGGACGTGAGAATGAGGTCTCAGATGCATCTAGCGTGGGACCTGAAGAAGATTTAAGATCCCGCTAGGTTTGATAGGTCTAGCATTGAATCTCAGGGTGTCAGATAGGGCACTGTCATCGACGTGTGCTGGTTTGAGACGTTCAATGCTGACGATCTCGACGCGTCCATGTCGATCAACCTTGAAGGTCTTTTCGTGACGAGCGATCACGTGAAAAGGGCCTTCGTAAGGTTTTTGCCAAGGTTTGCGTACCGAATCTACTCGTATAAAAACATGTGAACAGGTAGATAACTCTTGAGAGAGAGCGACCTGTCGATGTTGTATTCGAGTTGACACTGGAGACAGCGTTCGCATAAATGCAGACAGTCGATGGACGTAGTCTGATTTACCGAAATCAGGTCTGCTCCGTGGTGTGAAGAATTCTCCGGGCAGACGCAATGTCGTGCCGTATACAAGTTCAGTGGCGGAACATTGGATATCTGCCTTTAAGCTCGTTCTCACCCCCAAAAGAACGAACGGTAAGGTTTCGTACCAGTTGCCGTTTTCGTGTGCCCGTAGAACACTTTTAAGTTGGCAGTGAAACCGTTCAACCATTTGGTGCTGGGTGGTAGACGGATATGCTTATGCGTATGCATTCCGTACCAAGCAGCCGGGTCAGCGAGGAGAATCGTTAATAGGGTAACATTTCTCGAATAAAGCGTGGAATTCATCATCACGCGAATAAAAAGTGACAAAGATTCGGTACACATACGTGTGAGTCTATTATATTAATACTATTCTTATCGTTATCCGTCATGTCGCGTATATTATATATTAAAAAATATGAAAATATACGACCGACGTGGATAGATAAATCATAGACTCACCGAATTGGCTTCTTTGGAAGATTTGACCAGAAGCTGAGGCGTGTTCCAAAATACGGGTCACCAATTGTATTCGAATTGGGATTACCAATTGTAGCGTGGCGTCGAGTTGAGATTAACTATGAACACCGCTACCAAGAAACACGTGCCAATTAGATCAGAAGGCGTAAGAAGCTCGTTCCAAATGACTCCATAAAATCCCCGAGAAGCCAAATATCAGAAGGCAGTTAATGGACCAAGTCGAGTTATATTTGCTGGCGATCTCGTGGCATCGAAAGGATACCGAGATCGTGCCAGGATACAACCTTGGTTACAGAAGGTAACCGAATTCGCGCGAAGTTACAATTGAAGTGTAAGTATAAGAATGGAAGCACAAAATAGCTGTCATTAGCACAGTCAAACAAAAGCACGTTAAAACAAACACTGGTACAGTTGGTTATAATAATAATTGTTTTTATTAAACCAGTCGTGTTCTCGTGATAAATGTGAGTCAATACAAACCTAAAGTCTGATCCACAAGGCAGTGGAGCCTCGTGAGAAGATGCAGTCCCATGATAGCCGATGACCAACAGTTGGTTCATACGCCATTTGTTCCCTCAGGATACTAGAGCCCATGTACACCATTGGTTTGGAATCCGGTTAAAGCGCCGGAAATTCGCTTTTCGTCCTCCCAATTTCGTAAACAACACCCCCGCCAGGGGAAGGCAATGAGTAGGACTTCCCTGGCAGAGGCTATATACGCGTGGCCGTGTGAGAGCACTTCGAGAGGGAGGGCGGGCCCACCCACTCTCGGCCATACCAGGGCATTTGGGGGCCGCTACCAGGGCTTCCCCGAGTACCTTCAAATGAGTCTTCGTTTTGCATAACTCGACCTGACTCTTGGTCTGGCGATCAGCTACCCAAGTGAAAGTGCTAGTCAAATGTTTTTCTTTACGATTAATAGTTTCTTATAAGACAACAGGAATCAACCTAAGCAAACAATAAATAGAATTCGATGCGACTGAATAAAGATGTACTAACGCACTGACATTGTTAATTAGAAACTGAAGCTATAACGAAGGTTTTACTTATGAAGTCACTAGAGTAGTAAAATACGGTAAAGACATTAGTTAAGACTTTTTACATGCGTCCCCTCTAATATCGTTAATTCTACGACAAAATCAGAATATTTTTTATACCGTTGGAAATTAAAATCATGATTACTCATTGTACTGATTCTTTCAGGTTTTATATCAATTTAGTTTATATACTGACAAATTAAATGGATTTAGAAAGATGTTATGGATAAGTAGAAACAAATATTTATAAATCTCAAAGTTTCAAAAACTATAAAGATCAAAACACTGATGGTATGGAAGGGAGTTACAATTATGTATTATGTTCAAAAGTAGATTCTATAAGATTGGCAATAAATGACTATGTATTCTGGAGCTTGAAACCAGGGGTTGTATAATTATATAATTTAAATACACAAGTTAATGGTAGTGACAAAAAAATGTAGTAAACCTGTCAGTTCCTCGGTATCTGTTATCTATTGGTTTTTAAATTCACAATCTAAAAAGGAAGTTATTGAAAGCTTTATTAAATCCATTTCTGTTTGGAAATATTTCTTTTCAATATTCTGATAATGTAATAGGAAGACGAAGATTATCAGAACTATGTGATATATTAGCACAATACATTTCGAACAAGCTGACCACATATATACTTGTTAAGAACATTTATATATAAAAATAAAAAGTCAACTAGACTGGAAATAGGGTAAGAGGAGACAAGGATAATAATAATAATAATAATAATAATAATAATAATAATAATGTGAACACAATTTGAAACTTGTTCACTCTGGATAATAAGCCAATATTACCAGGGTAGGTTTAAGGTGAGAACAAACTGTTTTTGAATACACAAAGGGGGTTTGAATTTGTTCGAAATGTATTGCGCTAATATATCATATAGTTCTGGTAATCTTCGTCTTCTTATTAGATTATCGAAATTTATCAAAGGGACTAATTGCTTTACATTTTTAATATTCACTTTTAACTACTACAGCAAGTAAATAACAATCAGATATGGAAACGGTGCTTGAACAGCAACGTCGCATCCACGAAGAGCGGGAAAGACTAATAAACGAATTGACAAAAGAAATGCTTTATAATCCAACCACAGTAAGCTGTTGTTCAATCAACTGATTTTTGTTTTAGCATAGAGAAAAGTTAAATTCAGAGCTTCGTTTAAGACTTATGTATGATGTAAGTGAGGTATTTACTTGTATTTTATGATTATAGAGGTACTTTGATGTAACACAAGAACTAAGAGATCTGTATGAAGATAAAGATGGGTAAGTCTATATTTTACTTTCTCATATAATTTCCTATAGTCTACGCAAGGCTGATATTCAAACACTTTCCGGTCCAAATGAATTTAACGAGTTTTATGATAGATTAAAGCAGATTAAAGAATTTCATCGCAAGCATCCTGGCGAGGTAATTTGCTTGAAAAATGTCGCTGCTAATCGTTACTTAATAAGATATGTGTCCCAATGTCTGCCGAGTTTGAAAAGTACAAAGAAATGAGAGAAAGACCAGAAGAAGCGAATGCTGTACTTATTGACTTTTCAGATGAGGAAGGCTATGGTCGTTATCTGGATTTACATGATGTGTATAAGAAATATCTGAATGTAAAAGGTGTTCCAGTAAGTCACTTTCAGTGGTTTTAATGGTCATCAATTCTATGTAGCGCATAGATTATCTCACTTATATCTCCTTCTTCGATCGATTGTATGATATATCTCGTGATAAAAAGGGAATAGCATATAAAGCGTAAGTGCCTTTACGTATTTTATAACTTGTTACTAGCTACCTCGAAGAGTTGCTTGGCTATCTTGAAAATTTCGTATCGCGTGCTAGACCTATAGTGGATTTAGAAGAGGTGAGCTAACTTACAATATTACATTTCACTATTACTTCCAACTCTAACTATTTAAAAATATGTTCATGTGTTACTTATCCAATTTTGTGAACCTTCAGGAAACTAAAGAAGCGCTTGCTAAATTCGAAACACAATGGACTCAAGGAACATTTCCTGGTTGGGGTCGTGAGGCAGCATCTGCCTTAGCGCATGGAGGTGCTCATTTGGACTTGACCGCTTTTACAGCCTGGGAAGAACTTGCTTCACTTGGACTTGATAGGCTTAAGTCAGCGTTACTCGCGTTGGGCTTAAAATGTGGTGGAACTTTGGAGGAAAGAGCTCGTCGCTTATGGGCTACAAAAGGTAAATCACTCGAAGAGTTACCTGCAGATCTGTTTGTTACAAAGCAACGGTCGACAAAAGGTTTCGCTAAGACAGCTGCATGGGGACATGTACCTCCGTAAGTAATATCCCTCTTTTAAATAGTTAGAAATTGATGTGACGATAAAAAATAGGGTTCCTGAATTGGATAGTGTTTTGTGTAGCCGAAGCGTTGTCGTGGGATCAGCTGTACTAATTATTCCGATTGATGATTAGTTCGCCTACATCCCCTGTAAGGACCAATGATTTTGTGTTAGCCAATCGCGAAATGACCTACCTTTCATCAACAAGCCAATGATAGTGAGATAACGACTGAGACTAATACTTAACGCTTATTAGTCCCAAGTGAAACTTTTCACTCTCGCTTACTCAATAACCAATATAGGACAAGAACACAACGGACAATTTAATTTCCGTTGTATAATTCAGTTCATAACTTGAAACACATCTTAATATTAATTAATTGCCTGACTACTTACCAACATAAATGCGAAATAACAATGTGGGCATAACTACACTATCAGTAAATGGAAACTAGGTAATAGGTTCATAATTGATTAACAATAACTTAGGGAATATAAAACAAGGAACGAAAATTTATTTACCCAACGATAGCTGATAAGCGGGAGATCATAAGGATGCAGTGACAATTGTGCTATAAAAATATAACCAATAATTCTTCGCAGAATAGTCCCATAAGCTACATCTGTTTCAGTGTTCTTCCTGTGATAGCGATAATATTAAACTTTTACTTTGTTTTATTAATAGAGCGCTATCTGAAAAGCTAAAAGAAATCGCTACACTAGAGGCTAGAATATACAGACTCAGTGAACTGGTCAAAGAACATCGCGAAGCTACTATTGAGAACGTACAACGTCGTCAGGCACGAATAGGATTCGAACGAGATGAAGATGATACAGATGCAGATAAGGATGCTACAGGTGCAGAAAACGGTCAGAATGAAGAGGATGATGATATTCCTTATAACCCTAAGAATCTACCCCTTGGATGGGACGGGAAAGTTAGTTCTTTAATTTTCGTAGTTTATGTAAAGTTAAACCTAACGACCAATAATCCACTAATCCTTTTAAATACACATTTAGAAGTAATACATTATTCAATGTAGTTAGGAATATATACCGATTCTCTTGTATGAAAATTACCAAGTCATTTCTAAAAATGTTGTATAATACATGAATCTTTTATCTTTATGCTATTTCTGGACTTCTTAAGGCCAGACGTATCATCCATTATTATTCGGGCTTCAAGTATTTGATCGACCATTGACTTTCCGTTTGTCTTCAGTTACCATTAGTAATATTAGGAAATCACTAACATGTATTATGTATGACATCTGTATACAAGTATATATCGGTTCTTCAAAATGCGGATTAGTGACATTTTAGACTCATTAGGATACTCTAGGTCGAAAAGTCTTGGTAACAAATCTACACCGCTATCACATATTTTATTCAGAGCTATCTTCAGTATGCCATTGATGGGAAGGTTGAGAAGGTGATAACGTAATTGAGAACTACCGCTTAACTTCACTTCGGACTTGTTGACCACTGGAGTTTAGGAACATCCTCAGTCATGGCTATTTATTTTATAGCAGAAGTTTACCCCGTCAATTGTACCTCACCCTTATCGAGCCATTAAATTTAACAAGACGTTAATGGGAATCTAGTCGATGAGTGCTGCCTCATCTGTGACTCTGTAACACCACAGTGTCCTCGGAGTACATGTTTAGACTCCGGTCATGCGTTAATAAGAGTACGCATTTACTCGCCCCTTACTGGACGCAAAAAATCGCATTAAGAAGACTAATCAGAGTTGAGCTCAGTGACGAGAAAGCCAAAAGTAAATTCCAGGAACATCTGAGGTCACACTTAGGTAGTTCTGAAAATGAGGCTAACCCAGATGTTGCTTGGGAACATATACAAGCAGCTGTGTAAACAGCAGCGACATCTATTAGTGATTTAGACCAAAAAATCACGAAAAATCAGTGGATTTCTAATAAGTCTATTGCACTGATAGATTCTCGTAAACTTACCCCATCAGGCTGTGAACACGATGAAAAGTCAGATCTAGATCAACCAAAAGTCTGAGGAACGACCATGAGCAGTGGTAGGCAACGAAAGCAGAAGAGATGGAAAAGGCGGCGTCTGTAGGTAACGCGAGATAACTTTTCAGACTAATAAAAAAATGGAATTAAGAAGTGAAGTGTAAGTGAGGCGATCTCAGAAAAAGACGACATTCTTATCTGCTCCCAGCTCAGACGTTTAGAACGATGGGTGGAACACTTCAAGGAGCGGTTCAGCTGGCCTTCAGCTACTCTACAACTACCCCACCATTCCCAAACAGCCTTGATGGAATATTGAAGTAGGTCCTCCGATTCTAATTGAAGTTCAAAAAGCTATAGCTGATCTGAAACGACGAAGAACAGTTGGTTCAGATGGATTGGCTCCAGAATGGTGGTCCATTTGTAGTGATCAGATCGACTAATATTTTAACTAAAATGTGAGAGTTGGATGTAATCCCATTTAACTAATCGCAATCATTGATTGTCCCACTATATAAGAACGATTCAAAATCATCCTATGATAACCATAGAGGGATTAGTTTGACCAACATAGCATCTAAAATACTAGCCTCAATAATTATTGAGCGCCTAACAAGGACTCTTGAACTGCAAACACAAGAAAATCAGGCTAGCTTCAGACATGGTCATGGCTGTATCGACCACATATTCACCATTCGTCAGGTATTAGAACTCAGGCATGTTTAACGGCCTCCGACAATGGTGGTCTTTCTTGACTCTTAAAAGCAGCATTTGACTCCGAGATCGAGAGGTTCTGTGGCTCACGATACGATACATGGCTCAAAATCGTTTGCAATGGCGCAGGTGCATCCACTCTTTGTGCCCTCCCAAATTCTAATCTTCTGAATTATTCATGTCCTTTATTTTCTTTCTAAATTTATTTCACTGGATTACACTTTAAATAACATCTTCATACCCTAATGTTTCCTATTACTGCTTATACTCTTACCACCTCTACCACTATGGGATTTGAATCGACAACTGCATCTCTGTGCTAATGTGGTGTGGCAACTCAAACTGATGTACGTACGCATGAGGTTCTACGTTGTTACTGACTGGGGTTCTGTGGCAATATATGTCATTGGAAGGTGTACTTCAGAAGTACATAAACCTTGTGAAGGCTCTTTACTCGAACACTGCCGGTCGAGTCAGAACTTATGGCGAACTGTTATCTGCTCTTGCAACCTCATGTGGTGTCCGGCAAGGCTGTCCACTATCTCCATTTATGTTTAATTCCATCATAGACCTACTGCTGGAAATGACGTTCTCGTCGCCTGAGTTTTCGGGCATTGATCTCCTTCCAGGAGGTCCACTTATCGACTTAGAATACGCAGATGACATAGTCCTGTTTGGTGAAGATGCTGATAAAATTCAGAGTCTTTTGGTAGCACTGAGCAACAATGCCAGGATGCTGAGGATGTGTTTCCCCCCTCGAAATTCAAGGCGTTGCTCCAGGACTGGCCTACATTGATGACTTCACTTATGTTGAAAGTCTGATCAACCCTAATAGGTTAATGTCTGACAGAATCTGTGCACGGATTCAGAAAGCTCGCTTGACTTTTGCGAACTTATCTATGGAGAAGGCGAGATATCTGTCTATCAATTAAGGGACAAGTATACTGCGCGACAGTTTGTTCTGTTCTACTTTACGGCAGCGAAACATGGCCATTAAGAGCAGAAGACACTCGTAAGCTACTAGTATTTGACCACAGATGCCTTAGAAATATTGCTGGCGTCTGCTGGGGTCGCCGGGTAAGTAATAGTGAGGTTAGACACAAGGTATTAGGGAATGATGGTAAATCAGTTGATGAGGTTGTGAATCTTCATCGACTGAGATGGTTGGGCCACGTGTTACGTATGTCTGAACACCGATTACCACGACGGGCAATGCTGACTAGTGTTGGAGACGGCTGGAAGATTGTTATGGGTGGTCAAAACAAACTTGGTATCAATCCTTGAAGCCACTAACTTCTGGTCTGAGCCATGATGGTAGGTTCGGACTGCTTGGTTTGGGTCCGCGTGTCCATCGTAACCAATGGTTGTAGACGTTGTGTGACGTGGTTCAGAATTGATCACAATGACTTAAGTGTATACATTCTATATCTTTTCTCAAACCGTGAGATTAAAATTGTTTTATACGAACTAATTCTTCCCCCTCTCCCTGTATTATATCCTTATATTCAATTTTTCCTTTATATAATACTACTATTGAAGTAACTAGTTCTATGAATTTGGTGTTCATCTTGTTGTGCTAATGAGGGATGGCAACTTGAACCGATGCATATAAGTACCTGGCCCTTCGTTGTAGCTGAATGATTGACTGACCTCGGGTTAATACATATGGTAACTTTTTCGTGGAGAGATGAAGAAGGAATTCTTAGTGCTTCGATGTAATCATAAATGCTAGTCTATGGTATACAAAAATTTTATTTATTATTTATTTGAACGCATAAATATTGGTATAAAGGGGCACCGAATACATATGCTCCACACAAGTCACTTGATTTGTGTGTGGGATGTGATACTGCCCGGGTGCACAAGCCGGAGCAGATGGTTTTCTTAGGGGGCCAAACCTCGAGTCTTTGACCCAAAGGTCTGATCTACAAGACAGTGAGTGAAGCATCGTGAGGAGTTGCAGTCCCATGGTAGCCGGCGACCGACAATTGATTCATACACTATTTGTTTCTTCAGGATCGTGGAGCCCATGTACACGACTGGTTTGGGACCATGGTTTCCCAACTCCCATAGGTGGATCCGTGTCCACCAACCCGGTTTAAGCAGTGATTAGAGTCATTAAATGTTCAATATCAAACTCCTAACCGGTTTCCTCTCATCCTTGTACGACGATGCTGGAATATGTTTTCCTGTGTTGAAACTAAGCACTGGCTGCAACCTATTTACCTCGGTTCAGAAGAACAGATGAATTGTTAGTTGCAAATAGAGGTGACTAGATGAAAAAGCCTACTTATTACGAATACAGAGAATAAATGCCTATTTGTGAATTTTAATCGACGTTCTACTACATAAAACGTTCTTGTAATTGCTTTGAACAACCGATTCTTACACATCTCAGATTTATTTATTTGAACACATAAATATTGGTACAAGAGGGCACCAAATATATATGCGCCACACAAAACAATGAGAATTTGAAGAGAACAAACACACAATCCCGAACCACTGCATCGTTAACATGGTGTTGCCACTGGATGTCAGCAATCCTTCAGACAGCGATGATCGAACACAGAGAGTCGTCTAACATCCTCAACTCGGAGAGGGCAGGTTTCACAAGCATAGAGCAAAACTGCTCTCACCGACGCGTTGTAGATCCGACCTTTTACAGCCAGACTAACATCACGAAGGCGCCAAAGATGGCCCAGATTGGCATAAGCCACTCTGGCTTTCACTATATTTGCATTAATCTCATCACTCACGCCACCACCAGCACTTATGCAGCTACCTAGATACACGAACTTCTCGACTACGTCTATCTGCTCACCATGCAAGGTGAGTACAGAATTAGAATCCTGCCAGTCTCGCAGAAATACTTTGGACTTCGAAGGTGCAAAGCACATACCATACCTACGGACACTGATTGTCAACTGATTAAGTGTGAATTGCATGGCTTGGACAATGTCGCACAGTAAGACTATCATCCGCATACACAGGCTCGAGAAGTCTCTCCAGGCAACAGATCCACACCACCATTACTTACATCCATCAGAGCTGTTTCTAGAATGTCATTGATGGCAAAATCGAAGACGAATGGTGAGATTGGGCAACTCTGCCTAACCCCATTGCTCGAATGGAACAATGGAGAGAGGTGGTTGTATGCCCTCACTCTGCCTGAGGTGTTTTTATATAGGGTCTTTAGGATGTTTCATATAAAGCTATTTCTTTGAAATCGACTTTTTTGGATCCCTTGTTCCGACTTCCTTTTATTTTCTCCATGAAGCATCTTGGATAGCCGTTTTCAACTTAGATTTTTCTGAAGATTTTAATTTCTAACTCGACGCATTTGACATTACAGACCCTACATATTGAATATCATAAAAAACGGATAAGTTTCCTATTTCTCTGTCAACTAGCTCGATAAGAAATTCGTTGACAAAAGAAATCTCTTCACTGAATTTCATATTTTTTTAATATTTAAGTAAGAATTATAAATAAATAGAAATTGTGTCTAATGTTTTTAATTTTTATAAATTTAGCCTATTCCATATTGGTTGTACAAATTGCATGGATTAAATATGTATTATAGTTGCGAAATATGCGGTAATCAAACATACCGTGGTCCTAAAGCATTTCAACAACATTTTTCTGAATGGCGACATGCTCATGGTATGCGATGTTTAGGCATACCGAATACAATTCATTTTGCTCACGTAACAAAAATTGAAGAAGCTTTAGCTTTATGGCAACGAATAAGAACAATGAAAGAAGCTGAACGTTGGCGTCCAGAAGTTGAAGAAGAATTAGAAGATTCTGTCGGCAATGTTGTATCTCGTAAAACCTATGAAGATTTAAAACGTCAAGGTCTTCTTTGAAAAAATATCTTGAATAAATTTTTTTCTTATTCTTGTAATATTGTACACTTGTGAAATATAAGTTTATTTTAATGTATTTGTTCTATTGTTCAAAATAAGATGGATTTTTTTCTGCAAAAAAAGATTGAGTTTGTATGTTTAGATTGTGATTGTGTTTTTAAGCAGTCAGGAGAAAAATCAATTAGAGATGGTTTGGATTATCTTTGTTTTTAATATTTATGACTGAAATTTGATCAGTCTCGGGTTTGAGTCCTGGAGTGAATGTCAACTCTTGGATGCAGGTACACCAGTCGACTAATCTCAAATAGGACAAAACAGGTGTCCTGGATTCCAATCCTAACCACACTCCATCTATTCCGTATCAGCCACGAAAAATGTTTGTTGTAATATTTCACAATTTCTGTATGTAATTTATAATATTATTTTCTGTCTCTAAAAATAAGTATCTTGCAATTTGTTCATGTAAGTATGAAACTTTTTGTTTCCAACCAAATGATTATCTCTGTAAATAGGAATGCTATTTTATATTTCCACTATTTGAGATATTATGACTTCAGCAATCCGCTAACTTAGTTTGCAGTTATTAAATACTTTTAATAACTAATTGAATTTGAACCAGTAATCTGATACTGTTGTACATGAGATATTATACACGAATCTATACTTCTATTTGTTATAATGCTACTCTAATGAAATATTGAGTAGTAGCTTAACTCTCGAAGTACTGGGCTTTCAGCTAATAGATTGGTCTTAGGTTCAAACCTCGTCCTACCCAATTGGATTTATATGGATGAATATTATTGCTAACCCACAAAAATAGTGTCACTATGTTCTAAAGTACGTTTTTATAATTTTATAAATGAATTTTCGATCGTTAAAATTTATTCAAAGAGTGCTAATCGATAGGTGATATGCAATTTGAGTCGAGTAATACCTGCTCACGAAACCGTAATGTTAATTCAAATCCCTAAATAATTTGAAATTGAAGACAAGACCATTAGGCAGTAGAAAAGGTTGTTTGCTTAATAAAATGCCCATGCCTATATACAAAACATTAACGCAAAATAAGTATAAATTTTCATAGGCGATTCGAAGGATTTAATTTTGTAGGTCACTTATCCTTCAATCAATTAAGATTTTGTCCGTCATATCACCTGCCCCATAAAATGATTCTGGATCATTCATCTATTGGTCAACATTCTTTCTATTCGTTTTAACAATCAGAAATTTGTTCAGAAAATCATTCAAATCCTGTTCCATGACAAACTCAAAACCTGAGTTCATAAAATCTGTACTTTGTAAATTTGTTTCATTACCTTGATTGTATTCCTTTTTTTTCTAGTTAGGTTTATAAATTTGATCAATTTAAATACTTTACTTGCATTCAAGTAATATGATGTTTCCAAGGAAAGTCGTACAAAAATGTTTGATTTACGTAGATGGTTCATTGTGTCAGGAATAAAGCTTTCTCCTCTATCAACCTTTTATTTTTCCCAATAAACAGAATATATAAAAGTTGTTTTGCAATGCTCAGAATTCTTACTGACTGTTTAAGGGAATAAATTCATCTGCTCTCTGTTTTTGTCATCATTTCAATGAGTATTGTTATTATAACTGGTTTTTTTTATAAGTATAAAATAATCATACATCTATTATCATTTTAGATAGTAAAGTAATATAGATTGTTATAAATAATGGAAGTTGATATATCAAATAACCCCTTACATGAAACAAATATGGACACTACGTCTGAATGGGAAAGCGCTATTCCAATAGATGATGAAAAACATAAAAATCAAATTGCGGGTACTGAAGAGTTAGTTACTACCACCTGTAGTGATGACAGTGCTCCTCTCGCAAGGGAAACTTGCACAGATTCTGAAGTAAGTAGTTCTCCTAAGTTTTTGTTTTTAGTAAAATTTAAACTCCAAAGGTAATCCGTGTCGGACCAACCCAGACTTCTCATAACTATAGTTTTGTATCCCTGGTTTATACACTCAGTTAATATAAAAATCCAATTATTTTGAATCTAGGCTAATCTGATTAAAAAGTATTTCGCAAAATATGGAGTACTCAGAGAAGAATCGTAAATTGTTGATTGGTTGGTTTTAAAAGTAAAATGTTGAAAACACTCATCTTCCCATTATATTGTTTTAGCATTGAAAAATAACTTTAACTGGAAGCGTTCGGTTTTCAACCAATAATTTACAGGTTCAAACGCCGTTTCACCTACTTTCGTTCGAACAACCTTCACAACCTCAGCATAACATATGGCTTAAGGTTGAGTACGTGAACGTCTACTTGACAAATAGGTTACATTAGGCTCTCTAATTATAGTATTGTATTACTTTATATTATTTGGTCGACGACGAATTTTCGGCTAATTTCTGGCCAATCAGAAAGTAGCTTTCATAGGTGGATAGTTTCTGGATAAGCAAGCAATAATATTGCGAAGTATAAATAGATGTTACGCAATTACTAAGTTTATTAATGTTTTCTACAGGTTACTCTACATGTAAGTAGTAGAGCAACTGCATATAAACTCTTCCTAGTTGATGTAGACTATCTATCTTCTCGAATTCTTAAAAACGACCCAAGCAGATTTTTCACTCTCTATATCGTTCCGAATTAGGGTTTTCATTGCGAACTAACATCGGTCGTTATTTAAAATGCTCTGTAGCTACTTAGGTGAATGAGTTTGGTTCAAAAATACAAGAAGCGCTTTCTGATTACATCACCTGTAACGTATAATACCACCAAATTTAGGTTTGTTTCGGAATCAAGGGTTTAGGAATAATGTCGATCCGCTAGTTATATACAGTCTAAAAAGATGGAACTAGAGGTTTGATACATTTAACGGTGTCATTCTTCCCCATAATTTTAAACATTTCGAGCAGTATATGAAGGTACTTAACTGCTCGTTAGACACATTTAAACTTCACGAAAACCTTAATGTCACGTTCTCGATCCTGATTAACTAGTCGCTAAAGTACACATACCTTTTTCTTTACATGAGTTTGAGGGTTGTCTTTCTTTTTTGATGGCTTTTTAACGGTCACCGATACTACTTACTACTTTGACATTCATTTTGATGGTTTCGTTTCACTTTGTTGATGATTTGTGGCGACCTAAACCGCTCTCTCTATATATGGAAGATTCTACGTTGTTTATGACTAACTGGCTGGTTTGTCAGTTTGAATCTGCTAAAGCTGGTTTCGCCCTACTGTGTTGTTCCAGACATTAGAGGTTAGTGAAGCCTAAGTGGCTTTTCTGGATTAGAATCCGTTTTTAAGGCTCACAAGCCCACCATGTGGATGTGATAGCGTGGGGAAATCTTTAGAACTCCCTTAATCTTGGCGCTCAGGCGTCTCATTAGGAGTCACTACCCGTTACACACATACCGGTAACACATAGATTTTCACCCATGCATCCCATAGCATACATATAGGCATATTCACCCCCTTGGGAAGGTAGATGGTCACCACTTCTTTCTTTTGTATTTGCTAATACTTACTGTCTTATGCACTACATACCACTGGAACACATTCGTTCATGCACCTCATGGCATACACATAAGCACTGTTAAGAAGGGTTTGTGGTCACCTCTCCCTAATATTTGCTACCCATTAAATTTTTTTCTGCTTTGTCTTCGATCTGTTGGATTTGGTCTCTAATTTTATTAGACAAAACAGACATTTCAGCTAACGTTACTTTTGTTGACCTGGCTCATACAATTTGCATATACCTGCAGACACAATTACGCAAGTTGGAACTCGTTCAATTCATATACATAAGCGTACACATCAAGAAGCTCTTCACTAATTGAAAGCCTCGAGGTTGAAATCTCAAGCGATTCAGGTTCAGAAGAGTGGTGAATTAGTCTTATCTCCATCGACCGTCCAAGTTAGCTAGCAAGGCTGTCCTCACTACCCAGCAGCGCCACAAGGAAGCCTTGGGTCTGATCTTACTGCTTTCATCATTCTAAGATTTCTCTCATCCAATCAATGTCAAATATAAAATTAGTCGACCCCTCAGCGGTAATAGTAATCACACATTTTCAGTCGTTTTATTTATATAATAGGTTCATAAAACTTATCGAAAGACTTGCATTCGAAGTAATTGATTATTCACAAGTTGCACAATGTATAATGTGTACTGTGAACATGATGGATTCTTGAATGTATGTATTATATTCATTTATTTGTAGTTGACATTATGGTTCACTACTAAGGCACACTATATATGACTTTATTAATAGTTTACTAAGTAAACTGGTTAAGGTGTCCTAAAATAAGTAACGATTTTCACGTTTGACTTTATTATATGTGATATGGTGGTAAAAATTGTTCTCTTGCAATTTCTTCTACACAACTTCTCAGCAAATTTATTACAAAACATTTTGTAGGCCATGATGAATTTCCTATAAAACTATTTATATCTATGAGAAAGATTTAGAAAGAAGCCTTTAACGTGAATTCGGTCATACTCAAATTAATGAGATTGTATTGTGATGTTTTTACAAAATTAAATTTAGAAACTGATAATTCGTCATGAAAAACAAATAAACTTTCTAAAAATACGACCAGTATACAGTTGTAGAGATTGTTAAGTTGAGATTGATATGATGAATGGATCAATGTTAGAACGTGGAAGCACTGGATGACCGTTTCGCCCGAAGGTCCTAGGTCCGATTCCCGCGTGCGGGATCGTGGGTGCGCACTTGTGAGTTCAATAATAGGACAAAACTGCCGTCCAGTGCTCCCAGATTTTCAGTAGTGGTCTAACATTGATCTGTTCATCATATAAATCTAAACTCAAAAAATATGACTTCGAAATTATGCGATCATTTTATAATCAGTCACTCTATCTGGTTCTATTTATATCATATACGTTTACCAAGACAATTATTTAATATGATATTGTTTTTCTGCTCTCATATTTCTTTAATTTTAGTCCATTTCAATAGATGTAAAGAAACTAGATGAGAACACTTCAACTAC